ACCTCATCTTGACATCAAATGGAATTACTAACACTGAACACCACTCTCAAATTCCTGGGTGACCTGAATTTGAAACTGCCATTGTAAATACAAGATATGAATACATGAGTTAGGAGCAGAAGTAGTCCATTTTGTCCCTCCAGCCTGCTTCACCATTCAATGACACGATGGCTGATTTGATTATGGTCTTAACTCCTCATTCCCACCTGCACCCCCAATAAGCATTGACAACTTCGTTATCAAGAAATTTAAAATTATTCAATGATTCTGCCTCTTGCTGTCTGGAGATGGAAGTTCCAACAGTGATGAGCTTCTGAGAGAATGTTTCCTCTTCATCTTCATCTTAAGTAAGAGACCCCATATTTTTAAACTGCATTCCATCATTCTAGTCTCTCCCACAAGGGAAACATCTTTTGAGAATCTACCCTGTACGATCCCTTCACAATCTTATAAGTTCTTCTAAACTCCAATGGAGAAAGGGTCAGCATTACCCCAAATTTTCTCATAAGATAACATCCCCACTCCCTCACCTAGGTATTAGTCAAGTGGTAAGAATCCTGTGGAGAGTAAATCAAGACAAAGAAGCTCACTAGATCAGGACCATATCCACTACCTTCATTAGTCACATAGAGGCAGCAGTATGTACCATCTACAAAATGCACTGCAGCAACTCACCCAGGTTCCTTTGATAGCATGACCAAAACTCATGATCTCTACCACCTAGAAGGACAACTTGGGGCTGCCACCACCTGCAGTTTCTCCTCTAAGCCACCCACCATCTTGACTTGGAACTATTCACTGCCCCTTGACTATTCCAAGGTCATAATCCTGGAACTCCATTCCTAACAGCACTATAGGTGTGCCTATGCACCAAAGACTGTAGCAGTTCAAGAAGACAGCTCAACACCAACATTTCAAGGGCAATTAGGAATAGGCAATAAATGCTGGCCTGGTCAGGTATCACTTGCATACCCTGAACAATTTTAATAATGTATGGATTGTGGATAGGTTCTAGGATGGAAAAAAAGAGTATGAGAATAAATGATTAATCTGACAAGTAGCTTTCATTTTTATTCAACCTGTTCAAACACGTTATGACACACCTTTGGTGCAGTTGAGACTTGAACCCAGAACTTTCGACCTACAAGTAGGGACACACCCATTTCACCACAACAGACCTTACAGTTTGAACCTGTGCGTGGAAGTACTGATGAATTTCTAATTCATCTGCTCAGCTACAACTGCAGGATTGGCAAGCAGTTGTATCCTCAAAAATCAGTGCTGGTTTCTCTGTGGGTTAAAACCTATGTTAATGACTTTAATGAAGGGACCAAATGCAATGTATTCAAGTTTCCTGCTAATACAAAACTAAGTCAGAATATAAGCTGTGATAGGATATTAAGTAATCATCAATTGGAAAAAGTGTGTATTTTGGGATTGAGTTACCACACCTGTGTTTGTTATGACACAAGTCAATGCTGAATACTGAAACAAACAGTAACACGCTGCTAATTTCAGCATATATCAGCCATCGCAATCATTATTGCCCACAGGTACAATGGTATGTTCACTGCTCTATAAGAATGGGTGTTTCTATTGGGCAATATATTTTGGGGCAGAATTTAAACTGAAGTGACAGATGTATTTGCAGTGAGGTGAAATGGAAAATCCTACAACGATCTTTGGCAATGAGCGTACCAGCATATTAAACTATCACACTTTTGATACTGTTGTGGATTTTTGAAGAAATGTTCTCATGACACATCTCAGGAGCAGATGGGACTTGAAACCAGGCTTTCTGAGCCAGGAGTAGGGACACTACCACTCAGAGGCTCATTGATGTTTATTGTACAATGGTGGCATTTAATGTTTGGGTATTGCTGAATTAGTTCTGTCACACTAAGTCACTGGATATGATATAATTTTGAAGTAAGTTAAGTAGTAATGTACGGGAGTGTTCTCAAACTGAATAGCTCTGTTTGTAAATTGCATCATATCAAGTTATCTGTCCAATCATTTGACTATGTACATGATCAACCCATTCTCAATTCAGAACAAAAATTGGCATCTATCATGAGATAGAAATGTAAAAATCTTTTTAAATACTTTGCATCTGGAACTGGAAGTTCCACCTTTGATATTCACCAGTTGAGATGTTACTGAGATACAAATTAACCACCTTCATAGTAAGAGATAGTCAGAACTGCCGATGCTGGAGCCTGAGATGACAAGGTGT